CCCATCCCACTCAAATCAATGAGCTACAGCTGCCAATTTCAATGCTGAATGCTCCCCTCCACAGCTGGAATGATCAGAACAAACAGAGGCACCTGCAGCATTCATGGGCAGTACCAGGCAGCCCTGCCAGGAAGGTACAAGGCTTAGCTCTGGGCTGGGGAGGGAGGCATTAAAAACTAATGTAAGAGTTTCTGACTTGAAGAGTTGCAGGGTCACCAGCTAGAGGCAGCTCCTGAAGCAACATCAGGGGTTGCCCTTTGAAATTCCAGATCTCAGGCAGCTGTAATTGCAAAAGACTCCCCCCCCCCTCCCTGCTAGGCTGGAGCAGGCAGCAGCCACAACCGGAGCTCATGAAGGTTTCTCACGGACATTCCACACAGAGTTTACTGTGAGGAAGATGAAATTTAAAAATAAAAATTGAGGGGGAGACAGGAGAGAGAGGGATTTTTTCATGGAGCTTTGCCTGTGGCCATAAAGCAGCATTTTCTGGGCCCTTTTCCATGCTCATTCACCATGTCAACAACACTGCGGGTCCACATCACTGAAACCAAACGGGAGCAAAGCAGAGAGCTGGGAGCACAGATAGCCTGGTAAAAGCGGAATATTTTAGGGGAGAGGCTGCTTCAAGCTTGTATTTGCCACAGAGCTCTACATTTTGTTCTGACATTTACTGGCAATGTATTTTTAACCCCAAATTGTATAAATCTTACACACCATATGTTGGCTTCCCACCCCCTATTTTTGGTCTACCATTTGAGCATTAACATTTTGCCAAGAAATGCAAAAAGATCCAAGTAAGCTGCAAAGGATTGTTTAAAAAACTAGGCTGGTGTTCCTTTTTGATTCCCGGTGGTGTATAGATATGGCTGGTTTATAAAAGGGAGGTCCCTTGCTCTTTACTTTAAAAGATCAGAAATTTCAGCTCTTGGATTTCCCTGGTCTTGCTGGATGAGCTCTAGGAATCTAGGGGGATGTTTATTCTGAACTCTCTCTCTCATACAAAATATCCCTTTCTCCAAAACATAAGTTAGCCGTTCACATGAAATAGCAGTTAATGCATGAGGAAATGTGTGTGACTAAAAATTCCTTCCCTATCAACTGCTCGGCTTTCACTCTTTTGAATCATCACCCACTTCACTCGCTTTCCTACCATTGCTCCTCCAGCCTATAAGGGGATCTGAACTTTGCATAAAAAGCCATCCAGAAAAACAAAAACAAAACAAAACAAAACCTTAAATCCCTCTACATCTTTCAGGCCTTCATTATACATCATAAAGTAGGAAAAAAACAAAAAGTCACTATGAAAGAAACCCCCAAACTTTTCTTTAAATGCAGATCAGAAAAAAACCAGAGTGATATAGGCATCATAGTAGTGATCACAAAAAGTTGTTATGAAGAGATAAATAATCTATCTAGATTCCCCATGTAGGATTAAGAGTTATTTTTTATCTTTCACATAGACAAAAGTGTGCTATGTGATTTAGCTGTGTAATATGCTCCTTTATATTAAAAGGTACAGGATCAGGACAACTCACCTGCAATTTAGGTTTAACAAAGAAAATGGTTTTGAAATATACAGGATGTGAGGTGGAAGCTGTTTTTTAAATTAAATATTTGCCTCCTGTGTCTGAAACACTAACATCACCAGGATGCAAATGATGGGGAAGCAAAAAGTGAAGCAGATTATCATCAAAAAAATGAAACTGACCAGATGAGTTTAAATGCTGAAGCAGAGTGAAGTGTAATAATAAAGCACGCCAGATTTTCAGTTCTCACCCTTGTGACAATCCAAAGTGATATTTGGTAACAGAGGAAAATAAGAGGTTTGGGGCTTTTAAAAACATTGTTTTAGCTTAACAGTGTCCCTTTAAAACAGAATGTGTGTGTGTTGGCAGCCTGTCATCCAGTCAACGACCAGCTCCTCAAAGCAAGCAGTAAGTCTGGCTATTGCCCTCAGTCCCACAGCTGGATGCATGCCAGCATGGATCCAACTGCTGTCCTATTGCCTCTCCGTATACAGTTCCTCCCTAACCTCACAGAAACATCACAGCAAAACCAGATAGGGACTTTGAGGGGAAAGTCATATGGAATTAGGTCCCTGTGGAAATAAAACAGATGCTTGGACCTCATTTCCTTTCCACATCCCAATTTTGGTCTGGATAAGGAAACCAGCCTCCAAGTATTTCGAGCCAGATCCTCAACGGGTGTACTAGGCTTGTCCCATGGATTTCAATGGATCAATGACCATTTGCACCAGCTAAGGATGTGGCCTATCAAGATCTTTAACCAAAAGACCTGAATCTGAGACTAGCTAGGACCCCAGGGAGGGACACATCTCAGAGACAGGCCAAAAGACACAGACAACCAGTATTCCCGACGAGCAACTGCGTGACACATCAGACCTTGACTGACGTAAGGAATGTAATTGGATTGTTTTTCTTGCATCGATAAAAAGTTGATCCCATGTCTTTTCAGTCTCCCTGCTCCCACCGGTAGCTCATAGCTAAACACCGAGGTATCTGAAGATATTCACATGATCCCAAGGACATACTCTTACAGAGCAGATGCATTGCAAGTACGTGCAGTGTACGTTTTCCCCCCATGCAGGCCCTGTGGCCCCCATTTAAAAGGGAAGTTCCTTTGATTTAGAAAAAAAAAAATCCCTTCACTTCCTCTGATTGCCAAGAAGTTCATCCAAGTTCAGCTTCATTTGCGGCTGGAGGGGGGGGCGGTCCAGGACCATCCCTTTCACAGAAACTTTTTGATTCTGGCACCTACTTGCCTCCTCTAGTGATAACGTGGGTTCCCCTTTAGAAGGAATGCTGGGGACTTGTTTTCCCAGAGGCCTGGAACACCAGAAAAGGGACGGGGAGAACAAAGAGTCCGGTTCTTTTGCTCCTTTCTTGACTGCCTTGTAATTCAAAGGGTGTGGGCGGTTTCCTTGCTAGGAGAAGATCCAGAGTCTGAGAGCCCAGTCTGTGCTAACAAGTGTCCTTACGAATGACAATTAAAAATAATAGATATGCATAATTAAATATTATCCTAGTGGGCCGGTTGGGGTGGGGACAGATCGAGAGGCGGAAGGGGCTTTTGTTTGGAGACAAAACTTCACTCTCGAGGTTGCTGCTTTAACCATTTGTGCTGTTGCTCTGACACCATCAAGGATGCAACGAACGAACGCTAGGACGAATTCTGACCAGCAGCGAGAGTGCGCGAGGGTTAATCCCGGCGCTTTGGAAGCATGTCTAGGAGGAATTCTGCGATGCCTATGAAATAGACGACTTGAGCGATGCCGAAGAGAGGGGCGATGACCAAAGCTCTGCAGTACGCCCCCTTCAGGAAGGCCAGAGGGCCTTCCTTCTGCCAGATTTTCCTACCAAGACACAGATACACCAGTTAGATTCAGCATAAACTGACCCCGCCAATTGCCCAGAATAATGTCATTCATCCTAACACAAATGTTTTCCAAAATAAGTTCCTGTATTTGTCACCACAATTCGGATGCTAAGAATCCAACCCATTGCCATATTTGGCATCAGGAAGGAATCCCCCCGCACCAAGTCAGATTAGCAGACTTTGTGGTTTTGAGCGTTCTACTGCAGTATGAGGCATGAGTCACTTGCGGGTTTAAACTAATGTAAATGGTGGATTCTCTGTCATTTGAAGTCTTTAAACCAGGATTTGAGGACTTCAGTAACTCAGCCAGACATGTTAGGTCCATTACAGGAGTGGGAGGGCAAGATTCTGTAGCCTATGGTGCGCAAAAGGTCCTGCAAGACTGGATCACAAAGGAAGTGGTAGTTGCTGGCTGCTACAGATCTCACCCTTATCTATTTTAGACTTCTGTATTAGGATCTGGGCGCTCTCTCATATAAAGACCAAGAGCAATAGCAATATCCCAAGTCAACTCCCCACAGTCTGTTTCCTTGCTCTTTTCTGCTTGAGGCAGTGTAGTTTTGAGGCTTTTGCTTTTCTCCGAGGAGGGAGGTAGTGATGGCTGGGAATTTCTGGTAGAAGGGGGAAGCGGCTTTATTAGCCTTTCCCAAGGACAGGATACAACCCTTTTAACATTCGGATAAAACAATTTAACAAAAGCTGTTGGTGTTGCAAATCCCTGCCAAGAGACAGGCAATGGAATCTGCCTCAGACAGAGACATTGCAACCTGATCTGCTGGTGACCACCACAGAGACATTTTACCTGGTACAGTCTAGGATTCCTGAGTACGTGTCCTCATTCACTCCCCTCTTCAAGGACTGCAGCCTCGTCTTGATTACTGAGGAGAGAGGAGAAGCTTTAAAGAACCCTGTTAATCCCAGGCATGGGCTGCTCTGGCTCTTTTCCCTCAAAGCTTCCTTCAGGTGCTTTGCACACTGCCGCATAGCTCTTTAGTAGGCACGAGTGATGGTTTAGGGCCTAGCCAAGCCAAACTGATGTTTATGGATTCTGGTGAAACTCCCGGAGGCTCCCTGCAGTCCATGGCGGCCAGAGGCTGGCATCACCAGCAGCCCACATGGGCCAGGAAGCCCACAGGGCTCATTTAACCATGTAACCAACTTAAATTGTAATGGTCACACGGTTAATAGTTTTAGAAGTTTTTTACATCCCAATCAGAGTATCAGAAGACCAGGGGAAACGTTACCTGTTCCTTTACAAATGGTTGCAACACCGTGCACACAAACACAATGAGAACACAATTTTAAAATCGGAGTCTGATTTATGGTAGTCCACATCTCTTACACCTGATTTTCAAAGGCCCAGCTCTGGCTGAAAGTCAGCCCCTTTAAAACGTCTGCAGGTGGGCATCCCCAAAAACTGAAGCACCAAAACAAAAAACTGGTCACACTTAGAAAAAAATCTTGGTAATATACAATTAGGAGAAGGAAAACTTCTTCCTGTTGTTTCTCAAATGTTAGCTTTGAAGACCGGGGTGACACCAAGTGGTGTTATCAGAAGGCATATGCAGTCTAGTACACAATAAGGCGGTTTCCCCATCAGCTCATCTTGGATGTACATACACCTGAATCCACATAAGACATGACACATTCTTATACACAGCAACATGTCCATCAGAGTCAGTGCTAAGGGCCAGACATGGCCATTCTCAGGAGTTAAACCAAATGGAGGGGGGAGTCTAGTTCGTCCAAATGGAGGGGGGAGTCTAGTTAAACCAAATGGAGGGGGGAGAAAGGGACAGCACAGCTCTTCCTTGGCCAAAAACAGTGGGCAACCTCTCTCTCCTGAGCTTGGGGGCAAGCTTTGAGCCCACAGATCTCCTAGGCCTCTTTCCAGGCTGGTGACATGAGGCCCTTTCAAATCTGAGCTGGAGGAACAGCAGAAGGATCTGGTGCCTGGCTTGGGAGTTCATGAGGCTCACAGCCTATATTCTTGCTAGTTCCTTCTGATTGCCAGAGGGACAGAGAACCTCCCCTAGACACAACAGCCCTGTCAGAGACCTCTTCTCCTGGCACCGCACAGAGGTGGGAATGGGTGGGGTGGTGGCATAAGGGGTGTCCCTGTACACAGAAACCATCTCTTTTCTCCACTCCATCAGTGCTTGGCCACCTTTGAGTCCTTTGTCCCTGTGCTCATCCCCAAAGCCAGGTCTCATTATGCAAGGCCACATCAATGTTTGACGCCAACGTCATGGCAACACAGAGCCACCATCGGTGGCGAGTTCCTCCTCTTCTTTCAAGCTACCATAATGATTGCCAACGGGGGGGGATGTCTGTGAAGCTCCTCATTACCACCCTGCGACTGGTAGCATCTCCCACTCAGAACTCACCGTCACAAGGATTGACAGCCACTGCTGCCGTGCTGCCCGCCGCGCACCCAGACAGGAAGGACACGTAGAATGGGGCCTTGACGTCAGGGCTCTTCTGGCCCAGCTTGTTCAGGTTCGCAAACAACGGGAAGTAAACGATGGAAAATGGAACGTCTCTGTAACAGGAAGGGGTCAGGGGAGGGAAGAGGGGGAGATAGTGATCAACAGAGCCACATCTCCAGGCTAAGCAGCCAGTCATGGCAGGAGCGTCATGGGTCAGCAAAGGTTCCAGGCCAGGACTCTTCCCCAGCTACTGGAATGACGTGCAAGGGGGTTTGATACAGACAGTCCCTCTGCAGCTTCCACAGCCCACAGACTGAGTTGGGGAGTGGATCCTCAGCAGGTGTAATTCGGCACAGCTCTGCCGGAGCCAAGTGAGCTGCGTCTATTTACTCCAGCTGAGGGCATGGCCCAGCATGTCCACAGTTCTATTTAGTTTTTTAAAAGAAAAGTTAAAGGCCGTCGCTTGGCCCCGTCGCTCCCATTGGGTGTTACAACCAATGTTGAGTGCGTCAGTCGCCTGAGAAGAGCCATTTCAAAGACACTCTTCACACTGGCTTCCCACAGAATATCAACTCAAGGTCAAGATCTCAGTTCTTATTTTCAAGGCACTCAATGGCTAGGACCACGATAGCCCATAGTCCCCTCTCAGGCTCTGGTGGGGGAGGAAAAGGGGAGACTTGGCGCTCTCTACAGCAGGGGTTGGCAACCTTTCAGAAGTGACGTACCAAGATTTAACTTATTCACTTCTGTTTATGGGTCTGCATGCCAGGAGGGACGAGGGGGAAGGGGCGGCAGGCTGGGTACGGTGACCTTTTTTTTGAACCAGCTGCAGGTAGGGAGAATGGTTTAATTTAAATGATTAAATAAACTAAGAGTTTTAACTCATGTTAGTTTATCAAACTTCATTTTAAATAAAGTAAAATATTAATTTATGTCCAACACAAAAGGTTTCAATGTTTTATTTATGGCATGGGTGGGAATCCTGTTTGGGTTGGGGGGCCATTGTCAGAAAAATCAGTTGGGGACCACACAAGTGAGAAGCAAAAAAAAGTCTTCTCCAAATAAACAACCAACCTTCACTGATGTGGCCCCCAACTGAGATACCTCACTTCTCTCATGCTCCAGCCTCACCGGACGAGGGGAAGGGACATGGAGGTCTGAGGTTCAGGGTTTCTCTTAAGCCAGTTTACTTTTAGGGGGTTCTGAAGTTTGTTGATTTTATGGACTTCTTTAGGCTCTGGAATAGGGACAAAAATGAGGAGTTCAGTGTGGGAGACAGGGCTGTCAGCAAGTGGGATAAGGATGCGGTGCAGGGTCATGGAGGGAGGTGGGGTGCAGAAGGGGGAGAGGTTGCAAGTCTGGGTGGGAGGTAGGGCACAGAAGCAGGCTAGGAGTAGAGTGTCTGGCCAAGTGGAGGGAGCAGGAGCAAGGGAGGGTGCAGAAGCAATGGTGGATTGAGGAGCAGGGTGTCTGGCCAGGCTAGGAGGGAGGGTGTCTGGTCAGGAGGGAGGGAGCAGGAACAAGGGAGGGTGTTGGAGCAAGCTGAGGATGCAGGGTCTTGGTAGGGGGAGGGGAGTGAGGGAGGAGGATTGGAGTGTCATGGCCTGGGCATGAAGGGGGACACTTACCTTAACCCCAAATGCCTTCGCGCCCCCTTGCAGAAACTGCCACGGCCACTCAGTCTCAGGCCAGCCCCAGAGGCCAGAGGCACCACTATTGCAGCCGGAGGCATGGCTGAAGAGCCTCAGCCGCAGCGCTGCCTCCTCCCACCACAGCCTAACCTGCTGCCAGGGAAGAGGGAGGGCTCCAGCAGCTGTGTGGCAGAGGAGGGGCAGGGCTGAGCTCCCACCCCATGTGCCATTGAAAATCAGCTCATGTGCCACTTATGGGAGGTTGCCTGCCATAGGGTGCCGACCCCTGCTCTCCAGTAAGGGTAAGTCTCATCTGCATGGAAGAGGGAACTTTCCCATGGGCTAGTCCAAAGCCTCACCACCTTCCACACCAAGGGCAAGGAGCATTTCTATGGCCTGCCTTCTCCAACATGGATACAGAGCAACACGTGACAGTCGCATCTCTGCATGTGTTACAACAGGGATCAGTGTGGCATAAGATCCTACAGAGCAATGGGAGGTAACCTGTAGCTCATGGGCCGCATGCGGCCCACTGGGGCTCCACCTGCAGCCCACAGGCTCCCTGGATGCCGCTGGGGCACTGGAGTCCCACACTTCCTATGCCTCCCGCATCCCTCCCAGTACTTTAGGAGGAGCTGCAGATTGCCCAGTTCACGCTACCTCCCTGCTCTTCCCCCTCCCTCCCAGAGCTGGAGCATCACACATCAGCTGTTTGTGGAGTTCCACCTCTGGGAAGGAGGGGGAGGATGTTTTGTTAGTCCTTAAGGTGCTACTAGACTATTTGTAATTGTGTTTAGATGCTTGTAGAATCATTGGGGCAAAATCCAATAGTCTTCACTCAGACAAAAACATTGAAGTAAGTTGGGTTGTATAGCTGTAAATAAAGTCAGATTTTTGGTCTCTAGAGCAGCAATGGACAATCAAGAAGAGTGAATGGGCTGCATGGGTGGACCTCCTTGATTTCAGTGGCCCACAGCAGCCTGTGTCCCATTGGGACTACATCTGCAGACCCCTTGTCCGTCCTTCTCCCCCAGCTCCCTGGATGCCGCTGGGGCACTGGAGTCCCACACTTCCTACCCACTGACATGAAGGGCCACTCATGCTGCCCACCTACTATTCATGGTTGCCAATCCCCGCTAGAGAGATTCGAGGGAAGGCAGGCTGCCAAGAGTTCTCACTCTGTCTCTGCCCAACACAAAAGCATTAGGGGCCTTATTCTCCACTCATGTACTCCATTTCTGCACCAGGTAACTCCGGTATCTCACAGATCTACGAGGGAGGAGCATCGGACCCTTGATACGCACATTTTGGCTAGCGACCCAGCTGATAACAGGGTTGCTTGGTGAATAGCCCCAAATGCAGGTGCAGCACCATTGCACGAAGCAGGGTTTGGTAGGGGTTACTTTAGTCTTGTATAGGGATGAAGCTGCTCAGAGTTTCAGCCAGCACAGCCCTACCTTAGCAGCGTGGCCCCGAGGCCCTTGTAAAGCCCTGCGATGCCTTTGCTCCGAAGTAGCTCCCTGGTGATTTGTGTTGCCGTGGCCCGTGTCTCCACTACCGACTCTGCTGCTCCAGCACTGGTAGAGGAGGAAAGCTGGGCTTGGGCTGCCATTAGCTTCTTCTGGGCCGCTGGGGAGGGGAGGGGGGAGGGGAGCAACAAAGTGTTATTTAGCACCACGCACTATGAAAAGTCAACTTTCGGTTAAGTGCAGCACTGGTGCGAAGGCACACAGGGACTTGGAGGTTTCAGAAAGGAAGATATCTGAGGTATAAACAGGATGCTGGTGAGAGGGAGCGACTAAAGCCAGCCTGTACTCTGTAAGCGCTCTTACCTCAGCCCTCAACTGCAGCATTCCTCCCTCCGTCCTGGGCTCAAAGCCAGCTCTGCCACTCCCCCTTAGTCCTGACCTGTTATCCTGGCAGTTCCACTCCTGGGTCTCTCCTGAGCAGACACGATCAATCCTGCAACACGTGTGTGGTGCAGAGAACTGACTACTGTAGACTGATCGCTTGTTCTAAACCCAATGCAACAGGGATTTTAAACCCATGAGACACTGGTCTTCAGAGGGGAAAGGCCACCAAACCACCCTAAAAATAAGAAGTGAGGAACAGACAAAAGAGCCCATCTTCCCTTAAACACCATGAAACTGAAAGTGCCCTGAAATAAAGAGCCCTATGTCTGTACACTATGCTTTCTCCCATTCCCTTTCTAGCCCTAGTGCACTTCTTCCATTTGGTCAGTAGATGGGGCACATGTCAATCTCTGGGCTAGCCTGCAGCTGCTACACACACACACCTTTCATAGAATCATAGAATAATAGGACTGGAAGGGACCTCGAGAGGTCATCGAGTCCAGCCCCCCGCCCTCAAGGCAGGACCAAGCTCCACCTACACCATCCCTGACAGATGTCTATCTAACCTGTTCTTAAATATCTCCAGAGAGGGAGATTCCACCACCTCCCTTGGCAATTTATTCCAATATTTGACCACCCTGACAGTTAGGAATTTTTTCCTAATGTCCAATCTAAACCTCCCCTGCTGCACTTTAAGCCCATTACTCCTTGTCCTGTCCTCAGAAACCAAGAGGAACAAATTTTCGCCTTCCTCCTTGTGACACCCTTTTAGATATTTGAAAACCGCTATCATGTCCCCCCTTAATCTTCTTTTTTCCAAACTAAACAAGCCCAGTTCATGAAGCCTGGCTTCATAGGTCATGTTCTCTAGACCTTTAATCATTCTTGTCGCTCTTCTCTGTACCCTTTCCAATTTCTCCACATCTTTCTTGAAATGTGGCGCCCAGAACTGGACACAGTACTCCAGCTGAGGCCTAACTAGTGCAGAATAGAGCGGCAGAATGACTTCACGAGTTTTGCTTACAACACACCTGTTGATACAACCTAGAATCATATTTGCTTTTTTTGCAACAGCATCACACTGTTGGCTCATATTCAACTTGTGGTCCACTATGACCCCTAGATCCCTTTCCGCCATGCTCCTTCCTAGACAGTCGCTTCCCATCTTGTATGTATGGAACTGATTGTTCCTTCCTAAGTGGAGCACTTTGCATTTCTCTTTATTAAACCTCATCCTGTTTACCTCTGACCATTTCTCTAACTTGCTAAGGTCATTTTGAATTATGTCCCTATCCTCCAAAGAAGTCGCAACCCCACCCAGTTTGGTATCATCTGCAAACTTAATAAGAGTACTCTCTATCCCAATATCTACATCATTGATGAAGATATTGAATAGTACGGGTCCCAAAACAGACCCTTGAGGAACTCCACTTGTTATCCCTTTCCAGCAGGATTTAGAACCGTTAACAACAACTCTCTGACTACGGTTATCCAGCCAATTATGCACCCACCTTATCGTGGCCCTATCTAAGTTATATTTGCCTAGTTTATCAATAAGAATATCATGCGAGACCGTACCAAATGCCTTACTAAAGTCTAGGTATATGACATCCACCGCTTCTCCCTTATCCACAAGGCTCGTTATCTTATCAAAGAAAGCTATCAGATTAGTTTGGCATGACTTGTTCTTCACAAACCCATGCTGGCTATTCCCTATCACTTTATTACTTTCCAAGTGTTTGCATACGATTTCCTTAATTACCTGCTCCATTATCTTCCCTGGGACAGACGTTAAACTGACCGGTCTATAATTTCCTGGGTTGTTCTTATTCCCCTTTTTATAGATGGGCACAATATTTGCAACACAGAGAACAAGCCTCGACTGTTCACAGCAGAGGTAATCTTTTGTTAGTCCCCCTGAACCAGGTTTTAATCCCGGTAAACAGTTAAACTAACTAACTAACTAACTAACTAACTAACTCTCTCTCTCACACACACACACGGCAACATTTGCATGAACATTGGCAAGGGGAGGTTCTTGGAAAGGAAAAGGAAAAGGAAAAGAGAAACTCTGAATGCAACGAAGAGATGAAGGATGCGCCCACTGGCTAGCAGAGTACTTCCTGCCTGCACTATAGCTGATGGGTATCATTTAAGGGGATTTTAGAAACAAAGCAGCATCCCAGGCAGAACTCCGGAAGAGATTTAGGTTTCAGCCATAGCTTTTTCCTTTCCCCGTGTTCTGTTGTGCTAAGTAATTTTATCGTTGTATTTAAAATTACTTTTGGGAAGATGCTAGGCATAACGATCAGCTCTATCAACACATTTCACGAGGGCTGCAACTTGACTTCTGCTTAGTACTCACTCCCTTCTCTGGTGCTGCCAATGACACTCAGAACAGACCTACCACCCCGTTTCCTTCTTGTGATTAAGGCTGTAAGAGAGAGAGGTAGCAAAGGGGGGGAGAGGAAGAGGTAAATTCAAAGTGGCAGCACCGCACATCGGCACTGCCACTTTGAAACACACCAAGGGCTGCACAGCTGATCCATGGATCAGCTGTGCAGCAGGCTGCCCCTTTAAAACGCCACCTCTGTGCCTTTCAAAGGGACAGTGGAGCCCGGGGTCCCTGTGGCATTTCCTCAGAACCCGGGATCAGTCTCTAGCTGACCCCAGGCTCCATAGCTTTAAAATGCACAAGAGCCCCTGCTGGGGATGCTTGTGCATTTCAAAGCAGGCACCAGGTGCAGCCTAGAATCAGTTGACTTCCCGCTGGCCCCAGCTGTATGTGGAGTTCCGCATTCCTCCTTTGAAATGTACAAGAGCCCCCACTGGGGCTTTTGTACATTTCAAAGGAGGAATGCAGAAGTGCCTATCAACTAGTCAATTAACCACATTTCAACATCCTTACTTGTGATCCCCTCTTTCCCCTCCCTGCCACTTTGCCATTGCACCCAGTCTTGACCTGCACCACCACTTGCTACCCCAGTCCTAGGTTCCTTTTTATCTGCTGCACCCTTTACTATTCTAGCCCTTGGCAGCTCCTGAGCAAGAAGTGCCAACTTTACCAAATGCTGCAAAGTGTCTCGCCCAAACAGAGTGTAAATTCCATTCCCTGGCTACACGGGCCTTGGTTCATCCCTAGCCTTGAACATGGCAGAGCTCTCCTTTCACTCTCATGAGGGAGAGAGTCTGCAATTTCCTCTCTGCCTCAGGAGTGAGAGCAGAAACCAGTACCCAGAGAGGCAAGGCGGATAGGGGACAATGGCCTGGAGAGTCCCATGGGAAGAGCAGGACTGACACGGTCCCTCTGTCCCCCCTCAGAGCAACCTTCCCCACTGGGAGCTTTGCTCACTGTTCAAAAGAAGCTGGTTTTCTCTTGTGAGTGAATGAGAACAAGAGTCATAGATGAACTGCAGGACAGAGCATTCACAAGGCCCAGCCCCACATGGTGTGCAGGGGGAGGGGAGGAGATTAACGGGGTGCAAGTATCACAGGGAAAGCATACGGAAAAGTTAATTCCTTACCCTGGGGCATTAACGAACGAGTTTTAGTAATACAGGAGATGAATGCAATCATGCCAACAGCATGCACCGCTGCCATTTCATTCACCCATCTATCCCCGCCCGTGGCGTAAGCCCAGGTAATGGAAAGTGCTTTCTTCTCCCACAGTCTCCCTCTCCGACCCGCACTGCATCCCCTCTGAGGTACCCCCCTCTGCACGCCTGTTGTACGAGGAGAGAAGAGATGTGAAAGGTACCAATTCGGCCTGCATCCTGCAGCTGGATTTTGAGCATCTCCATGGGAGTGGTGACAATCACCTGGCAGGTACCTGCCCCGCAGCCGGCCAGCATCTCCTTCAGCAGAGTCAGCTTCTTCCTGCCCAATGAGAAAGAGATAATAGTCAGAAGACCCAGCAGAGTAATGAGCCCTAGGAACACCACAGACATCTGGGGTCTCTCAGAGGGATATTCCCTCCCTCTCATGCTAGGCTCCATGCCCACTATATGATGGAATTATAGGACAGATGGACCTGGACAACAGCAGTGATGCACAGGCTGGGACTCAAATGAAGATTGTCTGCTGGGCATGAGCAGCCAGCTGGTGTCAAAGGCGGGGTGTTTTGGCCCAGCATCATCTGCTGTGGAGCAGGGGAGCTCACATTACCCCATGTACTGAGCTCTGCTGGAAAGTTACACATACCAGAAGTTACCACAGGGCCACAAGCCTTTCCTGGCCTGCAGCTGCAGATGTCAGCAACCAGGAACATCTTCTCCTCTCACCCAAGCCAAAAATCCAGAATCCCCACAAAATAAGAGTCAAAACTTGAGAAAGGAACTGCTGAGTTGGGGTGCTCAACTAGGACACCTTAACGGGGCCTAATTTGCCAAAAGTACCATGCACCCACCCTTCCAATCACATCCCTTTTAAAGGCACCAAAGGTGGGCACCTAAGGTCACTGCCCAAAAGTTTTAAAAGAAAAATCAGCCATTTTTTTTAAATCAACTGCCACAGTCAGATACCCTCACTTAGGCCTGGTCTACTCTAAAAGATTAGGTTGTCTTAACTGCATCACTCAGGGGTGTGAAAAATCCACACACCCCACAAGCAGCATTGTCAAGCTGACCCAAGTCCCACATAGACAGTGCTAGTTAATGGAAGACTTCTGTCCACCTCTTGGGCCGCTGGATTACCTACACCGATGGGAGAAGCCATCTCATCAGCACAGGTTGCAGCTACACTGAAGTGCGACCGAGGCACGGCTGTGCTGCTGAAGTGTTTGTATCTGTAGACAACACTTTCAAGAGGCTTGGTGTCAAGGGGTTAGCCCAAATCTTAAAAAACAGTTGTATAATAATCTGGTAACAAGAGGCTTCTGTAGCGTAGATATTCACTATATTTTTGAGCACGGTGGATTTTAAATAGCCATAACACAAGTCTTTAATAGGAACTACTCTAAAGTAGCATTTTCGCTCCTCCTGCTGGCTCTGTTTCACCAACACACTGCTCCAAAGTGATGCCAACACCACAGGACACCGCGACAAAGCCAATTTGGGTTAGCAACAAGCACTGCTGCGTTTTTATATAAACACACACATTCACGTGTTAACAAAGCCATGGAGATATTGACGCCGCCCCTCCCCCCGCATTCTGACAGCATTGAGTTTTGGGCCAATACTGTGTGCTGAGGGTTAACACCAGCTCTCTACTGTAAGGGACTGGGGGCAGAGGGACAACCAGGTTGATTCTGAAGCCTCTAGGAGAGCCTTACAGGCAATAAGATGTATCAACAATGTGGGACAGTTCCCAAGGCAACCAGGGATGAGAGTCACCTGGTTACCGCTCCCATCAACAAGAGGGAGCCCTTTCTTGTGACAACACCTGATATTGGCAGCCTATCAGCCACTCAAGCACTCTCCTTTGGGCTATGCCAGCCCTTCCTTCACCTTGCAGATTAACAACCAGTGCACCCCAATCTCCAAGCCCCTCTGAATTGTTCCCCTGTGACATCCAGCCCTCGACACTGGCAACTCACAGAAGCCCCAGACCCCCTGAACTCAAAAGTGCAGTGTAACCCAGCTTACCAGTTTAACCTTAAACCCCCCTGCTTGCAAACCGCACAGCACTTGTGGGCATTTATGCTAAAACAAAAGGAGGTTTACTTAGGACTTTAATAAAACAAAACAAACAAACAAAAAAACCACACAAACAAGTAGTTACAATAAAAACCATCATCATCAAACACAAACCTGGGTCTCCACTTAGCAGTTACCTTTCCCAGCTAATAAAGCAGGTTTGCTCCCAAAAGATTAGTCTATTGGAGAGCTAGCTGGTTTCTCAAGAATGGGCTTCTAAACTTTCACAAAAACACCTCCTCACACACTGCTGGGCGGGGGAGTTCTTCAGCAAATGGATACTGAGTGCCTTTCCTTACATTGGGGTTCACTGACAACCATCATGTTTCCATTCACATACAGGGTGAACCCTGCCTCGCTGCAGAGTTTCTTTTCTACCTTTCCCTGGTTTCAGTTGTTTGTCAGGGTCTCTGATGGTTTTCCATTGACCATGGCAAGAGCACACAATGGAACCTGCACTATCCCACTGCCTGATTAGGGAGGGGTAACAATTCCCTTTTGTTTGACTGGGTCATCCCAGAGACACATTGCCTCTCGGAGATGAATTTCTGCTCCAGGTCCACACGGCATACTTTCCATACAAATACACCGTTCTTTACCATTATCCAGACATATATCTCATGGTGTTTATAAGAGGCCTTACATGTGACTCTTCATGGATAAATAGCCTGTATGGTGTACTTGGTGTAGTGAATTTGCCAAGTCTTAGGCTAGAGCTGTTTGCAAAGAACAAAGGAACATTTGCTAATAGGTCTCTGTCACACTTTGAACTTAATTGGTAAGAGCATGTTTCCTCTATTTTTTCTATCCATGTGCAGAATAAGTTGTGTGCACTGATGCATGTGCACCACCAGTAGAAACACACACTACTGGCCATGGGCACTATAGGCACTCTGCTAATCCAAGGGTAGCATTTGAATCTCTCCTGGGTGGCTACCCAGGTGCTCGGTTTATAGGAAACACTGGGCCAAACTCAGCACAACTCCCCGGTCTAAATGGAGCAGTGCTGGATTTACACTAGCAAATAATGGCTTGAAAGTGTCCTTTGAGCTCAGCCTGTAAGATCACATTGTTCCCCACCCCCACCTCAAGCACAATGTAGCGCACTTAACAGCTCAGCGATCCCATGAAATCTCAGCACCTCTTGCCACAGGGAACGAATCAGGTGGCATGAAACCTCACTCCTTAGCAACACAGCTGCCCACCCCTTTAGAGGCCACATTCACCTATCCACTGACATCACAGGATCGCTAGTTAGGATGTTGCTGGCAGCTAATCCCCCCAGGGCCTGCACGTCAGCTGTTCAGAGATTTTCCCCAGTGCACATCTGCTCTTGGTGGGGAGGACATCAGGAAGGGGATTATGGGAATAAAGCTACAGTGAAGATTATCAATGACTAAATATAAATCTTTGAGAACGAAGGAAAGGATTTATCACCGAGTTTCCTTCTGAAAACACTTTGGGCACAGGAAGATCAATGAATCGCTGAATTATCAGTCACCTGCAGGGAGAGTCTGCAGCCACACAGACTGTTCTGTGCGGAGGTGTTTTAAGAGCCTCGGTGAGAAAGCAAGTGTTTTCCTAAGGCAGTTGGCCCTCATGGCTGGATTGAGAGCTCAGAATACTTGGGACTCTTTACTTTGGTACAACAGCCCAAAAACCAAGGGCCTCACTCTCTTCCATTTGCTCAGCTTGTGAGTGCAGAAGTCAGGCTGGACTGTGCACAACTAAAGACGAACTACAAATAAACAGTGTTCTATCAGTACCACCAGGACATGAAGATGCCACCCACAATCCAAAGGGCCAGCACCGCCCCTCTGCATGTCGATAGGACTCTGCTGACCTCTAGGGCGCTGTGCTGACAAACATCCAGCGGAGGATGCGGGCACATAGATGCCGACACTGTGTGGGGTTCTGGGGCTGGAGCACCACCTTGAAAAGTTGAGGGTGCCGAGTAGCCACTGGCTGGCTCCCCTTCAGTCTCCTCTCTTCCCGCCTGTGCCTCCTGCCCACAAGCAGGCCCCATGGATCAGAATGTCCCGACTGACTGACCTGATCGGCAGTTGTGCAGCATTTGGGATGAAGATGGGGGAGGAGCAAGGGTGTGGTATGCTGAGGGGAGGAAGTGGATCTGGGTGGAAAGAGGTGGGGTGCTGGGGCATGGGGCTGAGCTGGGGGCCAAGCACCCTGGTACTTTTCCAAGTTGGTACCTGTGTTAGTGCATATACCATTTTTTAAAAGGTAGCAGACTGTCTGTGGCTAAACACTGCAGTCAGTGCAAATACAATGGGAAAGAGCGGATTGGGGATGAGAGCCACAACTGCTTGCAGCACTCAATGTACATCAGCGGCAGTCTGAGCCTATAAATGCCAAGACCCTTTACCATTCCTGCAACGGATACCTTCAGGCAAACAACCGGCAGGGCTGAGCATGGCTGGGCTTTTTTTTAAATCACATGTCGGGAAACTCATTGTAACTTTAAGGCACTGTGGTTCATCCTCAAACAGCTGAATGATGGTCTTCAAACCCTCCCCCCCCACACACACACACACACACGAGAAAGAAGAGGCCTTTTCAGCCCGAACCAGTGGTCTTTTGAGAAGGCTATAAGCCAGTGGACCAGCGATTACAAAAGTGAAGAACCAGCCACAGCAGCATCACTATCTAGTTGGTGCGGTGATGCTGAGAGTTTTACAAACTCCCTTACAACCACCTGTCTCCCCCCGCCCCCGCCCCACCCAACCAATACGTTCCGTTCCTCCACAGCCTAGAACACTAATCCCATTTTAATTCCACTGAAACTGTCCCACCACCCCATGCCTGCCCCCTTCAGGAGAGTACAAACACGTGGCTCCCAGAACCAGCAATGCAATCTCCGGAGCAGTGCACTTAGCATACGGTTTAGAAACAGAAGAGGTCAGGGCAGCACGGTTGGAAGCCCAGGACGCTGACACAACTAGTGTCCCCTGTAAGCTGAGCGCTTGAGCGGCCGCTCAGGAGAGATTCCACTGTCGCCCAGAGGATTAGCAGAGCACCCACAGCAAGGTTTTTGTTGGTACTGATGGTGCACATTGCACATACCTCTGTGCATATAAATTTATTCTGAACATGGATGGAAAAAGATTACAGGGAACGTACAACCTCCTGGCTTCTCAACATGAATGCCTGGAGCTTTGCCAATGCCCAAAAATGCTTGTAAGTTAAACATGAGACACATGGGGGGAAGGGAAACTGAGGCACAGA